AATACATTCATACATATGTATTTTCATTTCGAAGGTAAAAGCTAAGTACTTTTAAGTACATTTATATTTAAAGTAAATAATAAATAATTTTAGTTTCAATTAAATTCAGTAATTGCAAAATACTTTTTAAAAACTATAGTAAGTATTACTTAAAAATTGAACCCAAACGTGTTATTTTTTTAAATTTAATTGAAATGATAATATACCTTGTAGTGCAAAAGAAAGCCACGAAATTCTACTTAATTTATTTTGTCATCTACTTTTACTGATTTATTTTAAACTATTTTTTATAAAACTAAAGTTCATTTTATATCAGACTGTTTTATATGATAAACTATACAAATCAAAGTTTGCAACTTTGTACAAAACTCATAACATTTAACAAATTTAAAAAAAGTACATCAAAATTTCAAACCTTTTATCAGGCTTTTTAAAAACTTTTTAGGTATTCAGTTTTCCAGCATATTTAATTTTACAATAATAAAGTGCAAGTTTGAAGTGTCTCAAATTTACCAACACTAATTTAAAGTCACTTCAAAATTGCACTTTAATATATGTAGATACTAAAAATTAAAATGCTCCAAAACTGAATACCCAAAAAGTTTTTAAAAATACTGGTAAAAATTTGGAAACTTTTATATTTTTTATATCAAATGTTGGGATTTTTCTACAAAGTCAGAAACTTTGATTTGTATAGTTTATGATATGCAAAAACCTGATATAAAATGAACTTTAGTTTTATAAAAAATAAGTAAAAATCAGTAAAATTAGATTTTGTTCCTTACTTTTGCAAAACGCGGTATGTTACCGTTTCAGTTAAATTTAAAATCACAAAGTTTGCCTTTAAGTCTTAAATGTATACTTACAAATTAACGAGGACACGTTTTTTTTTTGCAGCTCCAATAATTGAACTTTTAGTTTGAGTTTCTCAGTTCTATGTCTGTTTTTATTTGCAACCTCTTCTTCAGCATTAGTTTTTTTTTTTTTTTTAATTCTAGTTTCTCTGTCTCTATAGCCAGATTTTTTTTTTGAAGATTGTATGACTTCCTTACAGAACTCTCTATGTACTTCAGGCCCTTTTTTATATTATTTGCACTTTCTTCTATTGCCTCAAAATGCTTCGCTTGGTAGTTTACTTGCGTTTCTAGCAATGCAATTCTCTTATCATTTGCAGTAGAATTGGCAACTTTTCTTCTTCTTGGAGTACGATGCACTTCAGAAATTTCGGTATCCTGGGTTTTACGCATTTCACAATCTTCCCCAGATATTGTGATGTAATACTACCACAAGTTACCGGCTCCTCTGGGATTTCCTCCGATTGAACTATTGCATTGCGCCCGATTTCTTGACCTGGTGGGTCCAAATAAATATCATACCTTAAAAAACTTGCCACCCCTTCCCCCAGTGGCGTGAGAATGTGCAGACTGTTTGGGCCTCCACCAGTTGCACGAAATTCTGCCCAGTTTTCCGAAATTTTCTTTTTCGTCTTGTTCTTCAAATCTGTCCAAACCTGCATCAAAATATACGCGATTATTTTATTAATTAAAGCTTAATATGTATTTATTTCACCTTTAACCACTTTTCCCATGAACGTAGTGGTGGTCCCAAGCTGTTCAGCTCTACTGCTATGGCTTCCCATCTGGGCTTTGCCCGAGTTTTGCCGCAAATTCCCTTCGCCATNAAGCTGTTCAGCTCTACTGCTATGGCTTCCCATCTGGGCTTTCCCCGAGTTTTGCCGCAAATTCCCTTCGCCAAGTCCTGATTGTCCTGCATCAGCTGGACCAGCCGGCCAAGTTGCTTCTTATTGCTAACCACTTTCGATCTGCAATTCACACACATACGTATAGTAAATTTTTGTACAGTTTTTGATGCAAATAACTTACTTTTTATCCATTATTTCTTTATTAATATCACGAAAATTTATTAATTAGTCTGTTCCTTTGAACTTCGGACTAAAACCTGTGGAACTGTCAAATAACAATTTTACTCTCTCAAGTAAGAGTAAAAGGAGAACAGATGCAGAAGTGCACGGGAACGAAAAAATCACAATTTCCTGTAAAAACGTCAGTCGGTTTGTTTACATGTCATTTGGACAACAGATTTGGCTGAAATATTACCAAAAAATTATTAAAATCTATACGTCTTCAAATATTTCGTTGTTTACCTCCATTTTTTTTACAAATATAAGGTTCCTTGCTTACACCGCTTTCTGTTTTTGTTTGCACATGCAAATCAGCTGATCGTTTGACACTTTTCATGAACTTACAGAAAAAAAACTCCGGACTAAATCCTGTAACTTCTGACAAGGAACAGTTGCTCAGTTACTCTCTCAAAAGTGTTCCCATTTACAGGTTTTATGTCAATAGGAACGACTTCCTGTAAATTCTGACTAAATCCTGTAAATCGGACTGCAATTGGAACTGACTAAATATCACAAAAATTTTGTTCACTCAAATCTATCGACTCAAAAATAGCAGTGGAGGATAAGCGATTAAAAACTATTCACAGTCGCTAATTGAGCGGCCAATCGACACTCACAATAGGATCGATAATCGATAATCGCTCGATAATCGTTTATCTACTTCACGTCGACACTCGCAATAGGGGTGTAAAAATATCCTTACTAATCTGTTGGGTGCTTTATGTGATGTCCGATAAGCTCCAAAATGCTATACACTGATGCCTTGCGCATCCGGAATCGATCGTAAAAATCCTTGTCATCCAAGACATTGAAATGATTTGANAATATCACAAAAATTTTGTTCACTCAAATCTATCGACTCAAAAATAGCAGTGGAGGATAAGCGATTAAAAACTATTCACAGTCGCTAATTGAGCGGCCAATCGACACTCACAATAGGATCGATAATCGATAATCGCTTAGTAGTCGTTTATCTACTTCACGTCGACACTCGCAATAGGGGTGTAAAAATATCCTTACTAATCTGTTGGGTGCTTTATGTGATGTCCGATAAGCTCCAAAATGCTATACACTGATGCCTTGCGCATCCGGAATCGATCGTAAAAATCCTTGTCATCCAAGACATTGAAATGATTTGACCGAGTGGATACAATTCTTGTCCTTCGCAATACAACAATTGTGAGTATTTCGCTTATTTCTGTGTCGCTATAATCACTGTCAGTGGATAAATCCATTTTATCAAACAATTTTAATTTTGTTGATTTCACTTTCAAATAAACTTTTCCAGCTGATGACAACTCGACAGATGAACAGCTGATTAGTTAAACTCAGTTTAAACCTGCCAGATTGGGCGTTTAAACTTAGTTTAAACTACGTTTAAATTGATCTGAAAAACGGCACATTGAGTTTAAACTTTGTTTAAACGAAAAACGAAGTTAAACTCGCACTGAAAAACTGGCCCTTATAGCGAAAACTCGCAGGCATTGAGAAGGGAGCGTGGTTACTCCCATACAAACTGAAATTCTCATATCGCTTATCCCTGGAACCGCTTATGCAAATGTCCTGAAATTTGACACAGCTACATATGCTATTAATACCGTACTCACGACGGAAAGTGGCTGGTATTAGTAAAGGGGGCGTGGTACCTCCCACACAAGCTGAACTTCTCATATCGCTTATCTATGGAACCGCTTATGCTAACGCCCTGGAATTAGCCGCAGCTACATATGTTATCAATACCGTACTTACGACGAAAAGGGGCAGGTATTGGATCGCTTATATTGCAGCAAATTTACCCAAGGGATTGCGCTGCAGCCGAAATATAGAAACCCCTTGTGTGTTGGTCTGCTTATTTCATATAAATTTACTTTTCAGATGGCTAAATGAAATTGTGTAAGCGCACCTTTTCTTTGACGCCTTCGTACACCCTTAATGCGATCTTGCACTTACCTCCGATTGACGAAATTGCTGGGGGCGGCCGTTATTGCAGCAGTAAGACTAAGAAGAAACCAGTTCATAAATATCAAGACGAATTTTAAAGTGGTGAATCGGCAAGGAAAGATTCGATCACATCCGGCCAAGAAGGAACACGGTCAATGGCTTCATTTTAACGATATTCAAGAGATCACACGACTCATTTAGTCAATGTACGGAAAAACTTTTCATCATGTGGGACAGCGAGGACTCTTGGCCCTCCCTTAACAAAAAACGTAATCTGTGCTCTTGAGTTTCCTTATAAGGACTTTTATTGACTATCGCATCGGACCAATGTTGTAGTTGCAAGATCATAGATTATGCACGCTTGGCAGAAGTTTCACCGGTGGAAATAAGACCATCGGTAAGGCTCATGACATCAAAAGCGATTAGTATTCCATATGGCATCACAGCGCTATTATTATTGACCTTTGTGTGAGGAGGGCTCTGCTATTTAGTCAATTGAACTTTTTTCATTACAGACCGTTTTTGCTTTTAAACGCTATTTTTGCATGGCCCACGCAAAAGGTCTTATAATGAGCCTTGAAGAAAGCGGGATTTGGCTAGTTCTCATATAAAAATTTGAGATTGTCGTTAATTTCTTCATGATCAGGCATGGGCAGAGACTTAGCAGGTGCTAAAAGAGCGTAAGCATCGCGTGTACGTATACAAGCGAGAGCGTAACGATGAGAACGCGACAGCATGAAAATGAATTGGACACACTAACACATTCTCACTTTTGTGTGACAACATCAATGCGTACGCCACAAATCGAAGGAGAAGCTCTGCAAAACACTAACATATGTGTAAGCCCCAATCCATTATTATTATTATTATTATTATTATTATTAATCAATGCACAAATGAGGAGTGTTAGGACATTGCGAACAGCACGTAGCTGTCTTTTTTATATGATTTCTAGCTTCTTTTCCATTTGATGCTTTTTTGATATTGCATAGCATAAAACGCAAGCACGTCGAACAGTTTTATTCAGCCCTATTCTGCATTTCGATTACGTTCCCGCATTCCGCTCCGCTGGAATCGAACTTAGGTATTCTGCGTTACGATCGAAACGAAAGAAGAAGAGGAAGTGAGAAAACATCTTTCGAAATCAGCTGTTTGCCTAGGAATGTGTGAAATCGAAACAAAACAAAGAAATATTTGCCACCAAATTATAGCAGCTTCAGAAGATAACAATTGTAAATATTCTGAAATAACTAAATATATCTTACATTATTGTAATTTTAAAATAAAATTTCGTTTCTTCTTAAATTAAGTGGAAACATAATCATGGAATCCATAGCCGCGGCATTATTGCTTGAAGAGGAGCACAACGCATCCCGGAATGCTGAGGTGAAAGTGGAAAGGCAGAGATTAAGAGATATGTGTGATCCGTTCCAAATGAGCGAAGAATTGTAAGAAATGCATGTGTAAAGTGCTAGGCTTAATAAATTTGGTTAACACTTTTAGATTCAAAAAGAACTTTCGACTTAACAAGGATGCTTTCAAGTATGTTTTGGATACTTTTGCAAGAGAAACTCAGCGAAATACCTTAACGTCTGTATCACCGCTTAACCAAGTAGTGGCCGCGATACAATTTTTTGCGGGGGGCAGTTACCAACACGGAGTTGGTGCAGACTATAATGTCGGAATGGGTCAGGCAAGCATGTCACAGTCCAAATTTCTTGAAGTGATGCAACGAAAGCTTTGTCCTGAATGGATAAAATTTGAGCAGACTGAAGAGGAAAATACAAGCAAAACAGGAGTTTTATGCGAAGGCTGGCTTCCCAGGGGTCATCATGTGCATTGATGGCATGCATATAAGAATAATCAAGCCACATGAATAGGGACACGATATCGAACAGAAAGTATCGATATGGTACTCATTTAAAGTAGCGCTTTAAAAATATCGGGTACCCATTAATATCGGAATAAAAAGACTCGACATTCCAAATATCGATACCAAAATCCAAAAAATTTATATGAATATAGGTCTCGTATATAGGCCGCTGTGGTGTAATGATTAGAAGTGCTCAAAACTTGAAAATGAAAAACAGCTTCCCATTAAAACAAAATCGCCGTTCAAAGTCGACATAAAACTGTAGGGACCCCTTTTGTGCCACAACATTAATAGCCCGAACAAAATGAAAACGACGAGCTATGGACCATAGCTGTCAAATTATTTTAACACGTACTCTTATGTAGATAATTATTTTGGCGCCGACCGGGCTACGCGACGACTGTGGTTGTGGCCAGATTAGATCTATTTCTATTTTTCCAGCGACAGATTAGGTTCTTCCTCTTCTTTTATGTCAAACTCGTAAAAATTCATGATGTCGCCGACGCATTCAAAAAAATCATGTCGCCATCGACAAAGCGTTTAGACAATGAAGATAACAAATTGGAAGCTGTGGCCCGTAGCTTGTCGTTTTTAATGTGTTCAGAACTTAAGGCGCACTTTACAAATCGGAGGAGAATCTCGGTCAAACACTAACATATTGTGTAACAACACGTAGAGACTGAGGTGTTGTCTTAAAACACCGAACTATATAACTATATTACACATTTCTGCTCTTAAAAGCCCAATTTATATCGGGAAGAATTTTTAATGCGAAGACATTAATAGTAATACGAGCCTTGTTATAAAATTAAGGTTAAGTGAAAAAACCGCGTGTCTTTTCTTTAAAAATTCAGAATTCAAGAGAGTTTATTACAAAAAATACAATTCTCAGTTGTCATTACAGGGTTGCAAAAGGTAAAACAATTCAATGTTCAGTACAACACTACAGGGCTGCAAAAGTTAGTAGGAAAGTAAATGACTATGCAATAATATTGAACAGTGAGTTTATTACATTCGATACGATACTAGGGTTCTGGTACTCGATTCCAAAAAATATCGTTTTAAAACTATCGAGTAGAAAATATCGGTATCGAATGCCAAAAGTAACGATATGGTATCGTATCGTATCGAAATTCGTGTCCCTACACATGAAGAAGATTTTGTGTATTAAAACAGAACAGGATTTTTTAGCAATAACGCTATGGTGGTGAGCATTATTTCAATTATATCAGTGCCGTAATTTGATTTAATTGTTTTCGTAAATTTAATTTCTATTTTCAGGTGTACGATAACAAAATGCGTATAAGAAGTTTTGATGCGAGATATCCGGATGCAATCACGACTCGCATATATGGGGTTTGAGTAAGCTGCGATTTTATATGGAACGGCAATATCGGGAAGATGAAAGAAACACCTGGTTGTTAGGTATTTATTTACTTGTGAAAGTCGTGTGTATAACTCAGTTATGAACAATGATCCCTTTTATTAACAGGCGATGCGAGGTATCCTTTGGAGCCCTGGCTAATGACTCCATATCGGTCTGTAAGTGAAGGCACCCAACAAAGCAATTACAACATGCGCCACTCCAGAACTGGAAATATAGTGGAGCGCACTGTCGGAGTCTTGAAAAACCGTTTCCGATGCTTGTTGGGTGCACGGGAACTGCATTACTCACCGAAAAAAGTCAGACAAATTATAAACGTTGCTTGTGCACTTCACAACATTTGCATTCACTACAGAGTGGAAGATTTGAATGCAAACGAATTGGACTTTGAATTCCGCCAGGAGGCAGAAGAAGAACAAAGCAGTGATTCAAATTATGCTACCGTGGGTAATCGTATTGGAGACAAAATACTTTCTTCTTTTTTAAAATTTACTAAACATGGGTATAATAAAAAAGTAAAAAAAAATGTTTTCTTATGTAAATTCACTTTAATTTTATATTAAAAAAAATAAATGATGTACATTTACAAATGGTTAAAATATAATAGTGTATATTAATATTATATATTTCAAAATAAATGGTATTCAGTGCACTTCACAATTTATGATTTATGCTTATATATCACGGTGGGTAATATGTATTTAATAAAAACANTGTTTTCTTATGTAAATTCACTTTAATTTTATATTAAAAAAAATAAATGATGTACATTTACAAATGGTTAAAATAAAAAAATGGTATTCAGTGCAAAAATAAATGGTATTCAGTGCACTTCACAATTTATGATTTATGCTTATATATCACGGTGGGTAATATGTATTTAATAAAAACAAAAAAACAAAATAAAAATTAACAATTTTAGGTACAAGTTTAACAATCAAGTTCTTCAACGTGTTTGAAGTTGCTAATCAAGATTATGGTCTGGATGCTCCAGCCTTAACATCTCCATCTTAATCTCAATTTTCCGCTTTAAAGTTCTTCTTTAATTTTGTTGTGCCGTTGCTCTTCCTGCAGTTGCCTTGCTGCAGTGTCCGCCACCTTTTCAAGGGAACGGTTCATGCGCCGCAAATGTGTCGCCATTTCCTCCATTCTATTCATGGCAGCTTCATTGAATTTTTTAGTCTCGGCATAAAATTCCTTTTGAAGTTCAATTTGTTCTTTCAGTAACCTTTTCTCAGTTTCAGTTTTTCAGTTTCCTCTTCTCTCCTTCTTTCTCGGTGTTGGCTGCTTGCTCGACTGGTTGAAGGTAAACCATCTGGATCCACCGAAGAAGCAGAAATGTCCATTTCAGTTTGGATATCGTGTTGGACCTGAGCACTATCTCCAAAATCCAGCGCACCTCTAATTCCACTTGTGCACGTTATTAAGCCCGTCAATTCTATGACTTGCTCTTCAAGTGGGGTTATGCGCTGCAAACGGCATTGACCTCCACCGGTGCTCATCATCTCTTTTTTGTTATTTGATAGCTCGCGTTTTATGTACCATTTCCAGTCAATCCACACCTGTAACAAACCGTTCCATCTATTTTACAAATTCCTGTCATTTTCAGTAATACCTAACCTTTCTCCATGCATTGTAGTCCTTAAATGGGGGACCTAATGCATTTAGGGAAGTTGCTACCTCGTTCCAAAACGCCTGCACTTCTTCTTTGGGTCGCTGTTGAAAACTGTGCGCTATATCTCTTTTGGCTGCCATCATTTCAGCCAATTTCTCATATTGCCCTGGTGTTGTTGTTTTGGACCTACAAACATGATAAAAAAATCGCGAAAACACAAAAATTAAGAAAATTCACTTATAATGAGTTTTACATTCATCCACAGTAATTTTCACTTACATTTTTTGTAAAATTTTATTATTTAAACCCACGAAAATAACAATTGAATGGTTCCCGCCAAAAAATTTGCAACTTACAAAAACGTAACTACGATAGAAATGTAGAATAGCTAGAATAGAAAAATTCGATCATTGATCGAAAAGAAACGGAACGCAGAATACCAAAGTTGCCAAACGGAGAAAATTTCGATTCGAGTCGAAATACAGAATACGGCTGATTATTATCATCTACCCTTTGGGTGATAACATGTTTGGATTGCGATATAGAGTGCGGAGATGACTGAATTAGTAGACCCTTAGCAAAATGTTCACGGAATGATCGGATATTTATATTTTTATTAGTAGCTTCTTTATAAACAATGTAGGCGTTTACTACGGAAAGTCCAAGTAAGAGTTCAACTCTCATTTTCCTATACCATTTTAAACCTTTGCGAAGGGTATTAGCATAAGACGCCATTTGGTCGGAAAGCTCAATGCCCGATTTTCCCTTATTATACTCAACCACAGACAACGGCTTTTCTGTTGCTCGTCTTGTAGATCTCGATCGTCGACTAGGTGCATCAGGATTAATTTGTTCGTTCGAAGTGGATACCATGACTGGAGGAAGCATTCTGACATCACGTTTGTCTTTCCACTTCAGCACAACTATATCATTGGCATCTTCTCTAGCCACTACTTCGTCTTTCTTTATAGGAGCACCCATAACTTCTTTTGGGAAATATTTCTTGTTTGCACGGAGTTAACCGACAACATGTGTTTTTTGTTTAGCATTGAACGAGCCACTTCATAGCTGGTGTAAAAGTTGTCTACATATAACGTTCGACCTTTTCCTTTCAATTTAGTGCTTAGATCTTCGCAAACGTTTTTCGCCAAACCGACTTACCTCAATCCAGTTGATGACTTACCAGAATATATTTTTACTTACCAGGTAAATCCTTCGGTAGAGCAGAGTTTAAAAAGCTTTATACCATAAAGATAAGCCTTATTTGGTATATATTGTCGGAAACTTATAGCGTTTTCTTTTCTCGAAATAATGTTGCATTTATTCAGCCCTGCGCCAGGGCTGTCAAGTTTTTGTGTTCTTTTAGTAGCATCTTCACATGCATATTACGTGCTCTTTCTTTAAAATGTTGCACTCTGACAATGTTGCCACATAAGAAGGTGACATTGTTTTTAAGAAAAGAAAACGCCATTAGTCTGTCTCGCCATAGAATAAGGGTATCATCAATTACTGTATTTTTACCTGGTACATACAGGCCTGTTCTGAAATCCGAATGGAATCGATTTCGCATCGATTTGGATTTTCGACTCGGAATCAAAAAGGTGTTCGGCAATCCTATCGAAATTGACAAATTCGAACAAGATACAAATCCTATTCGAACTGTCAAAATTCAGTTGGTGTGTAGCGGTTATTGTTTAATTAATTAATCCCAACGGCTTTTTACCCTCCATTCCCGCCCAACCGACACGAGGGGCGCAGTCCGCATGACGTACGGAAGCTTTTTTTTTTAGTTTTTTGGTGCCGAGTAGTGGAAACAGGAGTTTGTTAAGTGTCGAGAGTTAAAACTATTCAGCTACAGAATCAAATTAATCAGCTGATTGGATATGTTAAAGATAGTATTTCAATTATTGAGAGTGGAAATAATAGTTTTCTTTATAGTAAAAATCGAAAAGTTTAGTTCAAAATTAGTTTTGCATGGCTTTAAAAATAGAGGTCGAAAGTGTCTTGACACTCGAGAAGGAACATTAAAATTTACCTCAGCCAGGAGGGCCGGGCTATTAATCAAGCCTGTCATTAATTTTACGATAAATATTATACCTAGCATTTCTCTACGACTTGCGAGTGTAGGCAAATTTATGAGCTTTAGACGACTTGTGTAAGGGGGGA